ATCATCTTCATCATCCATGCATGAGTAACCTGATTCACTTCTGATTTCCTCCAAAACTTGCAAATCTGGTTTTTCATAAGCACTGTACTGAATTGGGCTACTTCTACCAAAATCAAAAGAAAACTTTATTTTAACAAATCCTGGAGTGGTGTGGGTCTACTGGACTCTCTGTGATGCTTGAGTAATCACACACAAAACAAAGTTACACAGAGCAATAGGAGGGTAAAAATCCCATTTTGCCACTTTTGCACACCTTGCCATTTGTCCTACCAAGTGGGTAAATACAGTTTCCTGTATCCCTCAAGGAAGGGTACTGAGACCACAGCTGGCTACTACTATGCTAAAGTACAAATGTACAATAGAAAAGTAAGGAATGGGTCTGCTAGACCCAGTGTTATGCTCCTACCATGCACAAGGCCCTGGTTCAATTTCTAGTCTCCCTCCTTCCATCTCTCCCTCTCTCCCTCTCTCTCTCTCTCTCTCTCACACACACATACACACACACACACACACACACACACTTAAACATCACAGTAAAAAAAAAAAAATCATATGCCTAAAAAATTGACAGTTCTTTAATATCAACTATCTCAATATTCAAGAGACAGGCTTAATTTTTTTCTCCAAGACTACTCATGGGGTTGGTGTTTTCTTCCAATTGGAGAAAAGCTCATTGTCTAGATCCAGTCAATCTAGTCATTCCTTCTTTGTTTATTCCTGGAACACTTCCATTAAAAAAACAAGCAAAAATAGCCAAGGTAGGTAGCCCACATCTGTAATCCCAGATACTCCTAAAGCTGAGGCAGGAGGATTACAAATCTAAGAGCACCCTGGGCAATTTAAGACCCTGTTCTCAAAAAATAAAAAAGACTGAAAATGTAGTAGCTCAGTGCTCTCTGGGTCCAACCTCTACTACCCCAAGGAAAAGCAAACAAACCAACATCATATAATTTGGTTCTCCAAATTATCCTGCTTGATTCTTTCCCTGCATCAGTTTTGAAAGTAAGTTGGTTCAGTAGCATGTCCCCAAAGTGACCAATAAACTTTTTCTTAAACTACCATAATACTACAGATTAAACGTATTTCATGTTTTGATACTCAAAGTGTCTTATATTGGTGAGTGGGAACATCTTCCGTTGGCTCCTGAATCCTTCTGACACAATCCCTTTACTGCCTGGTAAAATTATTCCTAGTCTGTTAGACAAGATGGTCCCGATCTCCTACATCTCCTGCCGAGATCTAGAACCAGCTGTTTCCTCAAGGGATACTATTGATGGGGAATAATATTTCAAGATCATAGTCTAGATGCTGAAGGGCTCTCTGCTCAGTTTAAATATAAACTACCTCCCAGCAAGGGGAGGCTGAGGCAGAAAAGTATCACAAGTTCAAGGTCACCTAAACTGTATAGGGAGACCCTGTCTCAAAAAATGGAGAAAAAAAAAAAAAGGCCAGCCTGGTCTACATGGTAAGTCCAAGGCCTACCTGCACTGCATTAAAAGGCTATCTTAAAAACCAAACAAAAAAGAGGAACGTTCTATAAAACAACAAAGGTAGTCTCTTGAAAAATGCAATATCACACACATGCACGCATATATACACAAACTGAGAGCACACTAAATTAAAAGAAACTAGAGACATAACTAAATCAAATATGTGAATCTTTACTGGGTCCTGGTACATTGAAAACTATCTGAAAATTTTAGAGTCATGTTTAGTGGCATTTGCCTGTAATCCCAGCACTCTGGAAAGCTGAGGCAAAAGAACAGCAAGTTTGAACCCAACATGGGCAACTTAATGAATAAAAGAGGCCCCATCTCAAAATCAGTAACAATAATGGGCTGAGGACAGACGCTGCTCAGTGCAAAGGCACCGAGTTCAATCCCTTGTACCGAAAAAAAAAAAAAGCAAAACAATTGGGAGACCAACTAGAACATTTGAATCTACAGTAGATATCAGATGACATTTAGAATGTATTTTTAATTTTCTTAGAAAGACAGTGGTAGGGGCCAGAGGTTTAGCTCAGTGGTACAGTGCCTGAGTTCGATTCCTGTACCACCCAAAAAAGGGAAGACCAAACAGTTATGTTTTTATAAAAGTATTCGCTGGCTATCATCAAGAAATCGACCAATAACAAATGCTGGAGAGGCTGTGGGGAGAAAGGAACCCTACTTCACTGCTGGTGGGAGTGTAGATTGGTAAAACCACTGTGGAAATCAATTTGGAGATTCCCCACAAAACTAGGATTACAAGTCCCATTTAACCCAGCTATTCCCCTTCTGGATATTTTCCCAGAAGAATTAAAGACATCATACCACAGCGATATATGTGCACCCATGTTTATAGCAGCACAATTTGTTATAGCTAAATCTTGGAAACAACCCAGATGCCCATCCACTGAGGAATGGATAAAAAAGTTGTGGTATTTAAAGATAAACTCGAGGCTTTTGTAGGTAAATGGATGCAATTAAACACTATACTCATAAGTCAAATAAATCAGACCCACATGTGTAAACATCATATTGTCTCCTTGGTGTAGGAACCTGAAAGACTAAGTAAAACTCAAAACATACAATAGACGATAGGAAAGGGAAAGAAATTGCTCAAAGGAAGGAATGACTGGGATGAGGGAAAGAAAAAAGAAGCAAGGCAAAACATAATTATATATGAATAACTGTGATGGCTGTACTGCTGTTGTCTGATGGTGTATTGAAATGAACAATTAATGCTCACAATTTTTTATGTTCTGATAAACTTTGCATGCTTGAGTCCGGTGGTCTGAGTAACTGATTTGAAGGTAACAATATGCAATGGAATTACAATGGTGAACTCCTAGCATCTTGTCTAGTGAAACTCTGTATTATCTCTAATATTTTCCTGAATAATTATTTTCTTATTCTTTTTAATGTTTTGAGCAATCTTTCATTCTTACATCTGATAATGTGAGCAATGTAGTTGAGGATAGCAATATGCAATGTAACAACCACTGTTAATTTGTATTAATTTGTCTTGAGACCCTGTATCACTTTGAATGTTCTTGCTTTGATTTGTTTATGTTTGTGATACTGGCATGCTGCTACTGTTCTATTTTTTTGTTTCTCATGTACTACTCTAAAATAAAAAATAAATAAAAAATTAAAAAGCATTCGCATTTGGCAAATACATGAACTGTTCAGTGAAAATGTCTTCAGGGAGCTGGGAGTTTAGCTCAGCGGCACAGCACCTGCCTGGCAAGTACAAGGTCGTGAGTTCGACTCCCGGTACCAGGAAAAAAACAAAAAAAAAGAAAAAAAAGAAAATGTCTTCAGTGTGACCTTTCAAAGGGCTCAGCAAATAGAAAGTTTGGTATCTTCTTAAAGATACTAACAGGCCGATTTTTTTCTTCATTTGGCATATATATGAAAATATTTCAAATCATTATATCTAGGTGGTGTATTCATGATAGGTGTTTCTTAAAAAACAGGTTTTTTCCACCTGTTTTTTTTAACCTGCATGAATTTTTCTTAATAAAAAGCTGAGGGAAAAGACTAACTTTTCATACCTCTGCTGTGATGAAACGCTATATTCTGCCATTACCCTTTTAACATTAACTGATAGTCTTGTTAGCTGAATTTTCTGTTATCTTTTGCCAGTTTCTGGGATCAATTTTCATGTACCTTATACACAAGGTATGATGGAAAGATACGGTGAATGTTTAAATTTTAAAAATATTTGTCACAAGAAGACACATGGCCATTAATTCTTCTTCAAATTTCACTTTGAAAACACTTATCCCACTTTCTAAGGCAGAAATAAGTGATTTCTGCCACTTTCTAAGGCTGTTCTGGAAATCCTTCGTGAGTACCTTTAGTTGTGCTTGTCATAGCTGCACCGGTGTCCTGAATCAATTCAAAGCATTTACCTTTCATGGTCATTCTGAATTTGGAAAAGGATCACAATTCACAAGGTGCCAAATCTGGCTATAGCAGGTGGATAAGAACATATTGTAGTTTTTTATAAGTCTGTTTTTCTGTTACATGCCACTCAGCAGCAGCATTCACCCATTTTTGATCATATCTTATAAAGACATTTATGAAAAGGGACTTCCAAAACTGCTTCAGGAAGTGACAAGATCAATGGGATAAATGTGTTCGAAGTGAAGGGGGTTTTTTTGTTTGTTTTGTCTTTTTGAAACAGGGTTTTACTATGAAGCTTAGGTTGGCCTTGAACTCACTTTATAGCCCAGGCTGGTCTCAAACATTGAAGCAATCCTCCTGCCTCAGCCTCCCAAGTGCTGGGATTACAGGTGTGCACCACCATGCCTTGCGTGAAGGGGATATTTTGAGGGGGATTAATGGCAATGTGTCTGTAATTTTAAAATTTTTTTTCTTTTTGGGTTTTGGGGGTTTTTTTTTTTGAGATGGGGTCTATGTAGTTGAGACTGTCCTTGGATTCACTATGTAGCGCCAGCTGATCTTGAATTCATAGCAATCCTACTGCCTCAGCCTCCCAAGTGCTGGAATTACAGAAGTATGCCAAAGCACATGGTGTAAATTTTTTTTAATTTAAATAAACACTTATACAGTAAAACCTTGGTCTGTGAGCATAATTCATTCTGAAAACATGCTTGTAATCCAAAGCACTTGTATATCAAAGCAAATTTTCCCACAGGAAATAATCGGGGGGCTGGGGATTTAGCTCAGTGGCACAGCACCTACCTGGCAAGAGCAAGGTTATGAGTTCAATTCCCAGTACCGGAAAAAAGAAAAAAAAAAAGAAATAATGGGGGGCTGGGGATTTAGCGCAGCGGCACAGCGCCTGCCTGGCAAGTGCAAGGTCGTGAGTTCAGTTCCCGATACCAGAAAAAAAACAAAAAAACAAACAAAAAAAGAAATAATGGAAACTCTGATGATTCATTCCACAACCCAAAAATATTCATATAAAAACTATTACAGTAAACAACACAAAATATAAAGAAAAATAAATAACCTGTACTTACCTTTGAAAACCTTTGTGGCTGGTGTGAGGGAGACAAGAGAGAGGAGGGTTATTGTGCAGGATGACTTTCACTATCACTAAGGGAATCATTGCTATCTATTGGCTCCATAGAATCTTTTTTCTTTTCGTGCAACTTTAACAAGGAACCTATTCAATGATACTTGCTTTTGCTTCCTTTTGAGGATTTCGCAGAAATGTGACATCACATTGTTGTTAAACAGATTCACTGTTCGCACTGCTACAGCTTTATTCGGGTGATGCTTTTCCACAAAACTTTTCACTGTTTCCCACATTTTACATATCTTCCTAATCTTATTTGAAGGGAGGGACTCTTCCACTTTTCTCTCCTCCTCCTCCTCCTCTGCAGATGAGGTCTCCTCCATAACCTCCTGCTGTTGCTTGCGATGCAGATCCATCAGTTCTTCAGTGGTCAGCTCCTGGCCATGTTCTTCCACCATCTCTTGAATGTCATCCTCATTCACCTCCAGTCCTAAGGTCTTCCCCAAGGACATAATTTCATCAACAACAGGCGGCTCCTGTTCATGAGCAAGGCCCTCTAAGTCATGTCCAAGAATGCAATCAGGCCACAATTTTCTCCAAGCATAATTGAGGGTTCTCTTAGTAACTCCATCCCAGGCTTTATCAATGATCTTGAGGCAGTTTACAATGTGGAAATGATGTTTCCAAAACTCTTGGAAGGTAAGGTTTGTTCCTTTGGTCACTTCAAAGCACCACTGAAATAGTGCTTTGGTGTAAAGCTTCTTAAAGTTCGAAATGACCTGCTGATCCATGGGCTGGAGCATTGGAGTGGTATTGGGAGGAAGGAACTTAACTTTAATGAACTTCAATTCCTCCAGGAAGTCATTCTCAAAGCCTGGAGGATGAGCAGGGGCATTATCCATAACCAGCAAGGCTCTCAGTGGCAGATTCTTTTCTAGAAAGTATTTTTTCACTGCAGGACCAAAGACTTCATTGATCCACTCAATGAAGAAGATTCGAGTAACCAAAGTCTTGCTGTTGGACCGCCACATAATGTTAAACTGGCTCTTCTGCACCTTGAATTTCTTGAAGGCTGGTAGATTCTTGGAATGACACACAAGCAAGGGTTTGACTTTGAAATCCCCACTTGCGTTAGCACAAAACAAGAGGATGAGACGGTCTTTCATGGGCTTGTGACCAGGCATTGCATTCTCTTCTGTAGTGTACATCTTCTTTGGCATCTTTTTCCAAAAAAGACCCGTCTCATTGCAGTTAAAAACTTGCTCTGGCAGATAACACTCGGAAACCACAAGCTTCTGGAACTCGGTAGCAAAGGCCTCAGCTGCCTTAGCATTCGAACTCATAGCCTCTCTGTGCCTCACAACACTATGGAAGCCACTTCTCCTCTTAAAGTTATCAAACCATCCCCTGCTTGCCTTGAAGCCATCTTCATTTTCTGTTGATGTACCTGGCATTTTACTTATGAGGTCAGTATATAAGGCCTTTGCCTTCTCACAGATGAAGTTCTCAGTCACAATATCACCTGCTACTTGCTTCTCATTTATCCAAACCAGAAGTAACTTTTCTACATCTTCCAGAACACGTGGCCGTTGCTTCGATATTCTTGTGACTCCTTTTGCTGCATCTAGCCCCCTTATCTCTTCTTTCTTCTTTAATATTGTGCAAATGGTTGATGTAGACTTCTTATAAAATCTTGCAATTTCAGCCACTCGCATACCTCGTTCATACTTCTTAATGATTTCCTTTTTAACTTCTACTGTAATCATCTGCTTCTTCTTACCGTTTTTCTTTTCAACCTTTTTCTGCATGGGGGCCATTGTATATGTTCGCATGGATGTTGACTACAGTACAGTATTAATAAACTCTTGCTATTTAATGTAACTGGCAATAAGGCAGCAGAGGAAAGGGTCTATATCTGCAGGCAGCCTGACCTAGAATGAAGCAAAGCACTCCTAAGCTTACTCTTGTATGGAAAAGCAATGGATTGTCCCTAAGTGCTTTGAAGTGACAAAAAATACACTATTGCCAGCTGTGGGCACCTTCCAATGTTCTGAAGAAATCACTTATTTCTGCCGAACACCGCAGCCTGAGACCAAGCATCTGTGCATGGGAGACAATCCACCCACAATCCCACAGTGAAAGCAAAAGGGTGAGAGGGCAAGAGAGCAAGCGAGAGAGAAAACCACTGGCTCAGTTATGATCATGTGACCTCCAGTGTCATGTACTACTCATATTGCAAGACTCAACATCAGTCCTTTATCAAGTTAAAATGTAGAAATGGTTGCTCACCTTGCAAAACACTTGCAGAGTAAATTACTCACAACCCAAAGTATTGCTGTATTTTGATCACACCTAATATACACATTTCTTAAAAGATAAAAAGTAAGCCAGGGATATAGCTCAGCGGCACAGTGCTTGTCTAGTAAGCACAAGGTCCTGAGTTTGATTCCCAGGACCAAAAAAACAAGCCACAACTGCTCAAGAAGAAAACAACTGGGATGAGGAAGAGGAGAAAAAAAGGAAAGAAAAAGAAAAAAAAAATATATATATATATATACACACACACGTATTTATGTATATATATACACACACACAAGATAGGTAATTATACTACCAAATTCTATTAGTTCACTGAAAAGAGTGATATGTGTTTATATTGTTTGATCAATTTTTCATGTCTATATCTTATAATCTGAACTACTTTTAAGATAACAATATACGTTATATTGACCATTTTTAATCTCATATTACCTTGTGTTGAAATCTTGTATCATTGTTTTTGTTTTTTCTCTCTAAAATAAGAAAAAAATACTATCTCCTCATCAGGTGCAGGAAAAAAAAAAAGCAGGTGTGACAACACATATCTGTAATCCTAGCACTGACAGGTTGAGGTAGAAAGATCACAGCTTTGAGTTAAGCCTGGACAATTCAGCAAGACTTGATTCAAAAAAAAAATTAAAAGAGCTGTGAATATATGTGAGAAGGCCCTGAGTTCAGTAACTACTAACACACACTCAAAAATAATTAATAAATAAATCTAAAGTGGTTTACCATGGTTGCTAAGGGGGTATTGTGAGATGAAGATGAACACTGCCTTCTTCCATTGACTGTTGACACTGGTAACCAAGTTGGATTCTGCACTTGATATTAGTAGTAACACCAGTGACATGATTTGTGTATATGCAAAAGTTTTACTTAACAATGCAGCTCACACAGGACTATTAGCAATACCCAAAGTCTCCTATCTTGGCACTCATCCTTCCTTCCAAGTGTACCAGGTAAAGACTGTTCCAGAGGAGAAAGGGTGATACCTTAAATACTAGCAAATAAAGTTAACCGTACACTCAGGTCCTATATAATCAACTAATCAGTACATATAAACATAACTGAAACAGTCTACATAATTGAAAAAGAGGATACAACTCTTCAGGGATGGGTCAACCTCTCCCATCCACTAAGACTAAACTAAAATCACAAGATTAAAAAACACTTCCAGGCATAAAATCACTCTCCAGAAAAAAAAAAAAAAAAAAAAATCACTCTCCAGAGGGCATTAAGATCATCTCTGCCCTCTGGTATCACCCCAAGATTATCTTGCTGCCAACCTCGTCTTCCAATAACCCCTCCTACCTAACATTGTATACACCCAATAAACAGTGCCTGGCGTGGTGTGTCTTGGTCTCTGCCCATCCTGAGGCACTCATCTCCCAGCCCCGATTCACGTACTACTCTATTTGTCTGTTTTTTATTTCACCCTTTCGTGGCAGCCCTCATACAGGCAGCTGGGGATCTTTGCCAGGTCCCCAATATCTCTTCATCTCAAATAAAACCAGGAAAAGACCTGTATTCTACCACAACTTTCCCTACTTGATTCTCAAAGCTTTGAATTCCTTTCATTTGCTGGTGGTTTTCATAGCACGAACAGAAATTTCAGAACTAAAGAATTTAGTATCTAACATTTTCAATTCACTGCCCATAAATCAAGAAGCAAAGCACATTTGGAACGGGAAAAAAATTTTTTTTGAGACAGTGTCTTGTTATATATAGTCCAGGATGGTCTTGAATTCACTATGTAGCCCAGGATGGCCTCAAACTCTCAGTGATCCTCCTGCCTCAGTCTCCAGAGTGCTGGAATTACCACCATGCCCAGCAGGAAAAATAATTTTTACAAACAGAAAAACTCTTGCTTTTGAGATGGTCTTAACTGTATTGCCCAGTCTCACCTCAATCTCCTAGGCTCAACTCATTCTCCAGCCTCAGCCTCCTGAGTAGCTGGGACAACAGACATGCACAAAAATCTAATTAATAACGCACTCTCTTACTCCAATGTTAAAAAATAAGCAATGAAGATCCTCAAAACATTTGGCATTTGTGTTTCCATTTTACCTAAATTTTTGGCTTTAAAAAGGATTTATTCCAAAAAACATTTAGGGCTACTCAATTTGCCCATGAAACAGACATAACTGGTGTACATTCAAAAGCTTTACTTAACATTGGAGTATAATTAAATATTTAACGAGTTTTTATTTATCCAGCCTTTTGAATCTTGCTCTAGTAGCATCTCACAATTGCATCTTACATGTAATAGTCAAAGTTTTTAAATAATCCTAACTGGTCTAATAATTTCCAAACTCAAAATACCTTCCTACTTGTCTAGCAGTGAACCCCCTATTAAGCACACAAATATTAGTGATGCACTCTTTACTTAAAGGGAAGGGGGATCCTAATGTAACAATAAGACCACTACTTAAAAGGGATCAATATTCAGGATTCCCTTTCCTATCTCCCATGGAAAACTTCACAAACAGTTGCATGTAGTCTGAATTCTATTTCTACTCCCTCAATTTCCTTTAACTCTGCTAAATCCTACCAAAAGGCAAGTTTCTCTCCCCCCCACTTCAATTATATGTAAAAATATAGTTTTGTGGCTATAGCCTTATATCACAGAGCAGAATACCATACAATCTATCAAAGTCTTACCATCTTTTTTTTTTTTTGGTTTTTCTCCGGTACCGGGAACCGAACTCAAGTCTTACCATCTTGATAATTACAACGAAGGCCATCAACCAGCTCTAGGATTTATAATTTAACTCAGGAATTTCCACCTTCAATCAAAGTGAATTAAATGGACATAATACGAAGAATCAGACTGAACTGGAATTGTTTTATTTTATTATAATTAGGATGCACTGTTATGCACTTTACATTATCTCAATGAATTCTCACAATTATGCCTCTGTCAAAACAGAAGTTTAGAGACCAAGTTAACTTCCCTAAAGCTATACAGTTAATAAATAATCCCAGCCAGGACTCAAACAAGCCCTTTGTTCTAGAAATCCTCCCAACACTACTGCTTCTTCCATTATTAATTCCAACTAGTATTTGTAAATTCTTTAGCAGATGGTAAATGAAGGCAGACTTGGATGATCTGAAAAGCAGAAGCATAGGACAAACCCAATGACTTTCCAATTTTTTTGGTTTTGAATTGTGAAATTTTTTGGCCTCTTAAAATGACTGCCTTTAAATTGGATATGGTGGCACATGCCTGTAATCCCAGCCCTTTGGAAGGCTGAGACCGAAGAATCCCAAGGCTGAGCTCAGCCTCAGCAATTAAGCGAGACCCTGTCTAAAAAATAAAGAAATGCCTGAGGATGCAGCATAGTGCAAAGGCCCTATGCGTAATCCTCTGTAAATTAAATAAAGGAGGGGCTGGGGATTTAGCTCAGCGGCAAAGCGCCTGCCTGGCAAGCGCAAGGTCGTGAGTTCAGTTCCCGGTACCGGAGAAAAACCAAAACCAAAACCAAAAAAAAAAGGAATGAATCCAAAGATTTTTTTATTTATGTGCGTAATTTTTCACATTTACAACATTAGAAATTAGACAAAAGTTTTAAATATTTGTCAATATATCTAAAAACAAACCCATTATATGCTAATAAGTAACGCTTATAATAAAAAGGCACTATTTTCCTCCAAAATACTGTTTTTCACCCTTATAAATACTTCTGTGTCTAGCTTAATACGAGACAGTTGCATTCTCATAGCTACTTCTTCATTCAGTCTGTTGTTAGACACTGTTCAGTATATAATGAAGATCTGACCTTAAAAAGATGACATAAGGGGCTAGGGATTTAGCTCAGCGGCAAAAAGCGCCTGCCTGGCAAGCGCAAGGTCGTGAGTTCGGTTCCCGGTACCGGAGAAAAACCAAAACCAAAAAAAGATGACATAAGAGAAAAATATTTTAATACACTTTCCCAATAACAATGTCTATTTATAAATACTAAAACTATACTTTCTTTAGTGTCTGTACTACCTTGAGCACATAAACAATAGTTTCTTACAGCTTTGCATTTGAAAAATATCAATAAATTGTTCATTTTTGTTACATTAAAATCCACTGGTGTTGTCTTTCAGGTCTGATGCCCCATCATCCCACGGCAGCTGTCTATCTTCTTTCTTGTCCACCTTTTTCCAAATAAGCCATCATTATACTTAAAAAAAAAAAAAAAAAAAAAAAAATCCACTGGTGCCAAGCATTGTGGCACACACCTGTAATCCCAACAGGCGCAAGGCCAGTGTAGTGAGACCCTGACTCAAACAACAAAAGCAAACAAAAAGCCAGAAAAAAAATCTATTGGTGTAACTACTATTTTGAAAGGATCATTTACCATTGCACAATTTTGCAACACCATATATTGGTCATTTGGAAAATGTCTGTCTTCCAAATGACATATTTCATTATACATTTTACTTAAACCGCAGCTAACTACTGATGATGTAAGAAAAAATACTGGAAAGCCATAAAACGATCTGTCGACTTTTTAAAAATCCTAATTTTTCACTTAAATTTTTTCACAAATAAATACTGTCATCTGTTCTCTTAGCAGTGAAAAACTAACTTCATTTTCAAAAAAATCCTATCAAATATCAGGTGTGGGGCCGGGGATATAGCTCAGCGGCATAAGCGCCTGTCTGGCAAGCACAAGGTCCTGAGTTTGATTCCCGTACCAATAAAATAAAGTATCAGGTGTGAAAAACTGCAGTCAGTCCCTTCAAGTAAAAATGCCGTTCCATGAAATAAGCAGCTTACAACTCAAGTGTTACAAATGTTTTTCCTCAGAACCACCACACCTGCAGAGATGGCATAAATGTTTTATGCACACTTCTCATTTCACCATAGATTCTTTTGGGGTTTTTTGAGGCAGGGTCTCACTATGCAGTGCAGGCTGGCTTTAAACGCACAGTGATCCTCCTGCCTCAGCCTCCCAAGTGCTGGTATTAAAGAAGTGCACATGTACCATCACACCCAGCTAACATCACAGATTCTTAAAAATTAAAAAGATGCACTCAAAAGCTAAGATTTAATAATACTAATACTTTTTACTGCTTCCTCAAGAACGTTTTCAAACAAGTCTGGTGCCACAGCCTTGCTTCTTGCCAAGGCACTACCAGTCGTAATTTCCCAGCATTAACTTTTGACCATCAGTGGAAATGTCAGTTTAAAACGGGTTGGGGGGGTCTTATCGCTGTATTTTGAAATTGGTTACGACCTCAAGGTTCCCAAGAAAGAGTCTGAGGGCCCCCTGGGGATCAGCTGGCCACACCTTTGTGAACTGCTAGAAATTCCTAGATTATTCATTCCCCTAGTGAAAAGCCTACCAAAATCCTGTTCATGCTAACAGTTCCTTCCGTTGGTTCCTTTAGTTTGATGTACCACCAACATAAGAGAGAAAAAAAAATCAAGGGTACAATCTGCCATTTAATTGTTTTAACATCATATTTTGCACACCTTTACATGAAACCAATACGTAACTTTTAAAGTGATGGTTACCTTAATCAGCAGTTTGGGGTATGAGGTCCCAAAACTGCATGCTTAACAATCTCCAAAGTCTCTTTGCACACTCTGAAGTTAAGAATCATTCCGAAGTTAAGAACCAGAAGTAGTTCTGCTCTCCAACTGGAGAGTCCAAGCTCCCAGGCGCAGAGCACCGGTGCATTGAAAATTCGTTGTTGTTTATCAGTTTCTCCATCAGTCTGAGAAAATCCCTTTAAAAGTAAAGCCTCATTTTTATTTTGAGCTCAGGATAACAACCAACATTATGGAATGTGAAGCGGCAGGCTACTGTCTGCACTACTGTGATAGCACAATTCAACTGTACCTCAATCTTCACATCGAGCATGACTGGGCCAAGACTTACAACTCCTAGCTCTACCTATTTCTGAGTAAAGAAAGTCAAAAAACGGCTGAGTCGAGAAATGTGCAGTGCGAAGAAGGAATCCCACGTCCGGCGAGAGTGGAAATCAGGCCAACATTTAGAAAGGAAGAAAAGCAGGTGATTCAATGGCATTATTCCTTTTCAGGAGGTGCCAGCAATCTAGAGAAAATAGTCCTTGGGATAAACATGGCGCCCACCGCGGCAGGACATAATCACGAGAAAATACGATGCTCTGCCCCATTCCGTTGTATAAATCAATGCTCCATCCCTAAGAGATCTGGGGGCCAAGGGAGGAGACTTTGTAAACTAGCTGCAAGGCACTCAGGCGCGAGATGTACCGGGAGGCGGAGCGGGGATTACATAACACAAGGGATCTGCTAGGCAATCACTCATTTTTCCTCCCGCCGCTCAAAACGAGCGCCCCACGCCTTCCCGAGCGGGGGCGGGAACCCC